AAAAAATAGGGACTTATGTTTATAACAGATATTCTTATTATTCCAAATAAAGTAATTAGTTGGAGAAAAATTGTGTTTGAAAATCATAGACCATGACAAAAGTGCTTGCTTGTGGAAATTAGAGAGAGCAACAGGGATCTTCTTAATACTGTAGTTACAGAATAATAGAAAGTTCAAACCTCCCAACTGTGAAAAGATATATTCTGATATAATATTCCAAATACTGGATGGATTTTTCAAGTAATTCCTCAACCAGTTGATTTTAAAGGTATTATTTAACGTTGCAAAATCAACCAAATTAAGACCTCCGTTACTGTAGCTGTTGGATAGAACAGATTTTTTGATGTAATGCATCTTATTTTTCCATACAAAGTTACATAATTGTTGATCAATCTTTTTACACATCGCTTTATCAGGTTCAAAAGAGAGAGCTGCATATGTTAGACGTGAAATGCCTTCTGTCTTGGAGAGGAGAATCCTTCCTTTTAGAGACAAGTCTCTCTGAAGCCACTGATTGAGTTTTCTTTTAGTTTTCTCTAAGATAGGCAAGAAGTTTAAATCACATCTAAGTTTTTGATATTTTGATATTACTATTCCAAGGTAGGTTATTACCTCTTTGACTGGGATATTACATATACTGGAAACAGAGAGTTGCTTAACTGGCATCAATTCACATTTATGCACATTAAGAAGAAGCCCAGAAGCATTGGAGAACATTTTAATTGCATTAAGAGCTAAAGGAATCTGGTCTGAATTTTTTAGGAAAAGGGTAGTATCCAATTGGCTGATGATGATCTCCCTTCCCATAACACTAATCCCTTGCAAGGTACTATTCCTAATGTGATTGGCTAATAATTGGGTGGTCAATATAAACAAATATGGTGAAATTGGGCACCCCTGACGTATTCCCAGTTGCAGATCAAATCTTGGAGAGGTACCATACTTAAGCTTAATTGAAGAGTTACCATGAGCATACAAAGTTTTACACTGACTATACAACTTCAGTTTTCCTGGAACATTCGGTGATGTCACTAAACGATGATGACACAACTATGAGCATCGTTCTCAAGTTTCTGCATGGACCTAACCATAGCCTAGGTTTTCAAACCATTCAAAAATGGGTCGTCAGGATGATTTAAGTAAATGATTTGCTTAAAATTATTTAAGCAAATATATGTAAATTACATTACAAATAACTAAATTTGTTTCCATAAAAATAAAATACAATCTATATAGAAAAGGTATAAATATGCGAAATATATCTGACATAAATAATTAACAGATATAAAACAGATGTGAGGTGCGGCGATCCGCCAACAAGTTCACAGAAAGGAAACGACAGAACGCTCATCCTGTTTGTTTGCTTAATTACAAAAAAACAAACGTTCCTTTTATTGTGAGTGTGCAAAACTAAAAGTAAACATTTACATTTAGCAGACACTTTTATAAATAAATAAAAAGAAAACAGAGAATAGAAAAAGAATAGAGCATGCTAGTGTTAGAGGCCTTTTTTGCTTTTGTTAATTGTATAATAAATAAAAAGAAAATAAATAGATAGAATACAAAAGAAATTTAGTGTTTGTGTGTTCGATAGTGTTCGTTTTTTTATAACTATTAGTTTTTAATGTCTTACTCTTATCTGTATGACCAAAAATGGAGTACTACAGACCCCTCCCACGATAGTTTGATTGACAGTAGCGTTTCAGCACAGCTGGACTGGTGTCTTACCTTAGCTCCGCCCTGAGTGAGCTGTCATCAGTCCGCCATTGTTTCTCCGCCGGAGCAGATGTAGACAAGAATGACTCCTAAGCGATTGAGGTGTTCTGTTGTTGAATGTAATAATGAACTGAACATAGCAGTCGTCATTTACTCCCGACATCTGAGCAGCTGAAGACGCAGTGGATTACATTTGTTTCTGAAGAGAATGCGCCCCCGAGAATAATATCAACTTGTGGAAAATGGGCATCCGATGACCCCTTTAAATATCGACCAGATAAAGGTATCTCAGGAGGCAGAAAGTGAAGCTAACTTTGGACTTTTTAAGTTGCCTGCGTTATCGTCCAGGAAGAACTTTTGTTCCAGCCACCAAAGACAGATTCACAAATAACCTGCCTGATTTATCTCAACTGCTCTGTGTAAATATAACACATAAACACATATGAACTAGATGAAATGACTAGCACCATGGGCACTGTATTCTCTAATACATTAGAAGCTGTTGCCCCCATCAAACTGAAAAAGGTTAGAGAAAAACGTACTGCACCATGGTACAACAGTAATACCCATTCTCTCAAGAAATAAACTCATAGTCTTGAGCACAAATGGAGAAAAACTAACTTGGAAGTTTTTAGAATTGCGTGGAAAAACAGTATGTCCAGCTATAGACAGGCTCTAAAAGCTGCCAGGGCCGAGCATATCCACAAACTCATAGAAAATAACCAAAACAATCCAACAATCCAATCTAAATATTCCCTCACAGTTTAATAGTAATGACTTTATGAATTTCTTCACTGATAAAAGAAACTGCACTTGTTAAAATTACAAATGACTTGCTCCTTGCGTCAGACCAATGCTGTAACTCATTGTTAGTATCACTTGATCTTAGTGCTGCATTCGATACTATAGATCATGACATACTCATACCGTACATGTGTGTGTAAAAATGTGGACATGAAAATAGATCAGTGCAGTGTACCGCCCTAAAAGTGTGTAAAAGTGAATTTTCCTGGGTCCAGAACGATGATAATGAATTCTTCCAGCATCTTCTGCGCATCAGAGCTCTTCCTAACAGAGACTGTACGGTGTTGAGGGCCGTCCTTTCACAGACACTCATCTGCAGTCGGTTCTACTGTGCTGTGTTATACTCTGGTCTAATCTGATGTATTCTATTCAGTGTTTTTTTCTTTTCACCTTTACAGTTCAGACCACAATGGCAAGCCAGAGACCCGTGAGCCGTGGACCGTTTGGACCAGGTTCTGGACGCCCGCCTACAGCCCTCCGGCCCCCGCAGACAGCCGTCAGAGTCAGCACCGCGGTGAGCAATCATTATTACAGTCACGCTCTCTGTCTGCTGTCTGAAATCACGCAGAATTATCAGTGTGTGTGTGTGTGTGTGTCTGTGTGTGTGTGTGTGTGTGTGTGTGTCTGTGTGTATATATGTGTATGTGTCTCTGTGTGTGTGTGTGTGTGTGTGTCTATATGTGTGTCTGTGTGTATATATGTGTGTGTGTGTCTGTGTCTGTGTGTCTATATGTGTATGTGTCTATGTGTGTGTGTGTGTGTGTCTATATGTGTGTCTGTGTCTGTGTCTGTGTGTATATATGTGTGTGTGTGTGTGTCTGTGTGTATGTGTGTGTGTGTGTGTGTGTGTCTGTGTCTGTGTCTGTGTGTATATATGTGTATGTGTGTGTGTGTCTGTGTCTTGCCAGGGCTGTATATATGTGTGTGTGTGTGTGTCTGTGTGTATATATGTGTATGTGTGTGTGTGTGTGTGTGTGTCTGTGTGTGTGTGTATATGTGTGTGTGTGTGTGTGTGTGTGTGTGTCTGTGTCTGTGTGTATATATATGTGTATGTGTGTGTGTGTCTGTGTCTGTGTGTATATATGTGTGTGTGGTTCACAGATGGCCCCGGGCTCCGCTCGTCCAGGCAGCAGAGCTGGACCCGTGGCTTCTCCTGGTGTTTTATCGGCTCAGATTAAAGTGGCTGATCGGCCGGTGACTCAGCAGGGTCTCAGTGGAATGAAGACGGGCATAAAGGGTGAACGAACTTTCCTTTTTCTAACGAGCATTAAAGTGATGTGAGATCTGCACACTGACCGCTCTGTTTTCACTCCTTAAGGACCACAGAGGCAAATCCTGGATAAGTCATATTACCTTGGGTTATTACGGTAAAAAGGGATGAAGATGCAAAGATAATTTTTTTACCACATCTCAGATAAGACAGACTGATAAATATTTCTGTTTGCTTCAGGAGTAAAATAAATGAGCTGACGATGGAGTCCAGCAAACTACAGAAGGACATTGACACCTCCAGTCAGGAGAATTCAGTCTATCTTTCTTATGAGAAAAGGTCATTTAACTTTTAGATCCACCAGAATCAAAAATCAACAAAACATTACAATGCATGCATATTGCCAAATAATCTTTATATAGCAAATAATCAAAAACTGTAATTATTATTACAATTTAAAATAACTGTTATCTGTTTTAATATATTTTACAAGCAACATTTTTTATTATGATCAGTATCACCATTGAAAATGTTAGAAAACCTACTTTTTCAGGACCGAAAGTTTGAAGAATGTTGTTTATTTGAAATATAAATCTTCTGTAATATTACAAATGTTACATATTGTCTTTAAAACCACAGTATCCCAAACTATATAGTCTTTTAAAATGCGTTTTACATTTAAATTCAATACATTTTGTATTATATTTTATGGATTTTCTTTATATTTTGATCCTCTAAAAAGACCCCTTAACTGTTCAGTGGTTTAGCATTGATGACATCAGGACGCAGTAATTAATGAAATGTTTTAAAACGTTTTCTGTGAACAGAGCAGAAGTCCTAGCTGGAGAAATCAAAGATCTTCAAGGGCAACTGGCAGATTACAACATGGTACACTAATTTAAAACAGTACTACAAGTCTCTTTATTTTGAATCAGTAAAACCATAGGATTTTGGGATGCATAATATCTGTGTCTTTTAATTACCAGCTGGTTGACAAGCTGAACACAAACACTGAGATGGATGAAGTGGTGAATGACATAATCATGGTGAGACGACATTATTTAAACAGCAACATCTTCCTCTTTGCTCTTCTCATGTTCCTGCTCATTGTATTTTATGTTCATCTCTTTAGCTGAAAGCACAGAATGACAGAGAAGCTCAGAGTATGGACGTGATATTCACCGAGAGACGAGAGTAAGTGCTTTTGTTTCTTCACAAGTAAAGGTTTGGCAGAGTTTGTGCACAAGAGGGCAGCAGCTGACCTGCGAAATGTGTCTCAATCTCCTCACGAGTACGACTGCTTTTCAGCTCAATCATGCCAGAGCTTCTTTTTAAATGATTCTACATATTTTTCAGAAAAACTACATGCAATCAATTCACATCCTGGATATTTTTAGGATATTAGGGATGAAATATTGCATACATCACTGACAAGCTTTGAAAAAGTAATAATTTGAATTACTCTGTGATAAAGTGCAGTGACAGCATTTGCACACAACTTTTTAACATGCTGAGATTCATGCATTTGCAGTTCAGTGATCTTTGGATTTCATATTTTGATTATTTTTCATATTGCACTACTGCACTGGAATAAAAAGATCCTCACAGTTTAATGCAAGAGCTCGTAGCTTAATTTTCCCACCCGTTTGCAGCCCGGTCCTTCTCCTGCCGCAGATCTCGCTCAAGACTCGTCAGCATCCGTGTGTTCTCTGTAGTTTCCCGGCTCAATGTAGCCGTCCTCTATAAAGCCATCATCATCCTCAAAGGGCTGCAAGCTCAGTCCAGTGTCCAGCTCCTGAGCGCTCGTGTCCGTCTGCTGTGTGTCCAGACTGAAGTTGGAAAAGCGTCCGGTATTGAAGACGCTGTGCTCCACATCCTCACGGAGCCTCTGGTGCCGGTAATTAAACAGAAGCTTGTACCACGAGGGAGATTTGACAGCGCATACAATGAGTATGGAAGTGCTGAGGGTTAGAGCAACGACACCGAGCAGGAACTTCCAGCTGTGGCTTCCTGTGTGTGTCTCACCATCCCTCGCCATCAACCCTGAGGAGAAACACATGCTCTGTGGAGTCCACTGACATCAGCTGTGTATGCAACAGTATTTGTGAAAAATGTTCGCAGTTATTTATCCTGTGTCCACTAAGAGGATCCACAGCAGAGTGCTGTAACTTCGTCTGATTGTGTTATGGGTGCTGCACTGTTTGAGCTCAGTGCAAGTCAGTGTTTTACAGACAGTCAGGCGTGTTACTGCCCGTGCGTTTACCTTTGCTGGAGCTGTTGACGTGGCTGCTGTTGCTTGGCTCTGTGGTGGGCGCTGGTGCTGGTGTTGATCTGGTTTTCATTGTGGTAGCTGTAGATTTCTCCACAGATGTTTTGACGGTTGAAGCTTGAATTGAGCAGGAAGGGTTTGCATCAAGCACAGCTGTTTTCTGGGGGGTGTAACAAGTGACTTCTTTCCCTGCAAGACCAACATGAGATTTTGCAGATTAATAAGTCAAACATTAAATAGGCAAAGGCATATACATCATATCTGAATATAAAAACCAACTAAAGGGCTCGATCTCACCTATTACTACGCCGGAGTCGTTCAGCTCTTTGATGAGGCTTGTGAGCGAGCAGGAGCAGTTCCATGGGTTCTCCTTCAGGTCCAAACTCTTCAGATTTCTCAGTCCTTTAAAGATGTTTATGTCAAGGGTTTGCAATCTATTTCCTCTCAGTTTAAGAATCTCTAGGTTTGTGAGTTTGTCAAAGGCTCCAGGAGGCAGCATCTGTATGAGGTTATAAGAAAGGTCTAGCACAGTAATCCTGCGATATTTCTGTAAGGTGTTTGTGTCCGAGGCGGACATCACAAGTGAGTTGTTGCTCAGGATCCATCCGGTGATGTTTGTAGGTGTATCTTCAGGAATCTCTATCAGAGATGCGTTGCTCATGTCCACCTGAACACAAATGGTGAATGTTTGTATGACATCGGTGTGTAATGCTTGACGAGCCATGAGGACAGGAGACTGCGGGTCCCCTCTTTTCACTGTGTTTTACATCAGCTCGTAATTCTCCAGTCTATGATTTGACTGTGACTAATTGTTAGACAGTAACTTAGACATGAATAACACTTTGATACAGAACGTGTTAGCATAACTGAGTGTGAAAGACACTCACCTGCTGTGCGATCACACCGGAGCTCATCAGAACCGCTGCGACCCACACCACATGCATCTGTCTCCCGGCCATGATCTGTGTTACCTGTGATAACAGCACTGCATCAACCAAACAAACAGCGTCCTGCCCATAAGAGGAAAGAGAGCTCTTGCTAAATTGTCCTGTCTGTTGTGAGCTGCAGTCAAAAAGAGCAAGAACCTTCTCTGCTCTTTATGCTCAGGAGAAAGTAAAAACCCTCTTCATGAGTGTCACACAAAAAGGATCTTTGTGCAGACGAGTCCCTCTCCTATCAGCATGCTGCTGTCCCGTGTCTCTCTGCTTGTGTTTGTTGCTGTTTTATGTTATCTGCCATCAGCCACAAAGATACTCATGGTCTTCTCTTGCTGGCATGAGACACACAGTCACCCAGTGTTCTCTAGCGGAGCGAGCTGACATGCATTATTGTTCAGTTGCATTAAGGACAGATGCTTGTTTCATTCTCATCTTATAAACACAGACCAACTGGAAGGTCTAAATTGCAGAATCAGTGTCATATGCTTTGCACTAGCTCTCATGTGTGCGATTCTCAAGGTCTCTAACAGAGGCTTGGTCATTATAGTACGTTGTCTAATATAGTTACTATTTATTGAATGATCACGTCTTTAATATGAATGTGTTTTTCGGGATCTGCAGTAATAGTAATGCTGGGCCAAATCTTATTACTGGATTTAAAAGACTGTAGCTGTGTTTTTCTCCTCAACTCCTCCAAAACCCTTTGTCTTTCACCTATATACTTCCTTAGTCTTTCCTGTGCTATATGGCACTCACAAGCCCTGTTGGATATTTACATGTGTCAGTGCTTTACGTCCTGTGCGCCCCGTTTAACTCTTGATTGCTGTATTTCTCCTGACAGCCTGTCGTCTCCATTTGCTTCATGGTTGGTTCAGTTCAAAAGTGATATTTGTGTTTTGTTTTGTTACAGGTTATTCTTAACCATGCCTGGAAATGAAGTTGCTTTTAAACATTTAGTCATTTAGCAGACGCTTTTATCCAAAGCGACTTACAAATGAGGACAATAGAAGCAATCAAAACTAACAGAAGAGCAACAATATGTTAGTGCAAATGACAAGTCTCAGTTAGTATATATCACACACACACACACACAAAAAACACAAGTAGATAGAATAGAAAAAAATAGTTTTTTTAAAAAGTAGAATTAAATTAGAATAGAGAGTGCTAGAGTTAGCGGGTCAAATAAAGATGGAAGAGATGAGTTTTTAGTCGTTTCTTGAAGATGGCTAAGGACTGAGTTGGGCAGGTCTTTCCACCAGGAGGGAACAGTTCATGAAAAAGTCATTTAACGGATCATGTAAACAGCCTCTTTGTAACTTTAAAGTAAAGAAAAGCCTGTGGTGACTATTATAATGTCATTATTCCAGGTTTTCATAACGTAATCAGTTTGTTTTAACTGGCTGCTAAGCATTACATTTCTTTGAGTCAATCTGTTATGATAGCATTTTGGATCTTTGCCTCATAATCTGCATAAAACATCAGTTTTTCACTTTTGTTATAGTAAAAATAAAAGAAAAAACTTTATAGATATGAATGTAAGAGTCACTTACCCTTGAGTGCTGTGTAATAGTCTGTGTTAACACATGCTTGAAAGAGCTCAGGAAGAGACAAACCTTTGCTCTCTGTAATAAAAAGACTGGCTAAAGATTGACTTCTGATGAACTATGTGTTTAATTGTGTTGTTCCTGTAGCTCAAGCAGTAGAGCACGCCGATAGCAATTCCAAGGTCCTGAGTTTGATTCCCAGATAATGCATGAAGTGATAAAAATGTATATCTTAAATTTAATGTAAGCTGCTTTGGATAAACATGTCTGTCAAATTCATAAATAGTCAAATTTGGTACAGTCTCTAATACAATCATAAAAATAATCTTTGTTCTATCTTTATAGACTGACAGATTCTAGAATGACTGTTAGACATACAATTACATTTTCCTTTTTTAATAAACTGAAATAATTATCTTAATTTGTTAAGATAAGTTGCCATGGAACTGTGAATTGTCTAAATTTGGATATTACCTGACAGCAAAGTTGTTTATTGTGGTAACAGTGTTTAGAGGTGTGCCGAGATGTGAAGTGTGCTTTATTGCACTCTTTAGGCTCAAGAGCATTTCAGAAATTCAGGATAGAGAACCTGGACAAGGAGTTGTGTGACACGATCTGATTTTCTTGATGTAGATGTGCAAGATTGCGAAAGACAACTAAATTCGGTACTCTGTTTTCTGTGCGCACACAGAGAGTGCACCTCAGACAGCGCACCATTACAGATCTGAGTTCACTTTTCGTCTTATCGTGCTTGAACAGACAAATACACACAATACATTAAATAATTGTGTAAGTAGTAAAACAACACAAATGCAAATGGGGCAAAAATGTGTTTTTAAGTTTAGAAACATTTTGAGTCTCCCCCTCCCTTGCCTCACAGTGCTTTGGTTTAAATGCCTGATTTCCTCTTTTACATCACCTACACACACACACACACACACTCACTCTCACACACACACACTCACTCGCTCGATCGCACACACACACTCACTCACTCACTCACACACACAGACACACACACACACACACATGCACAGACACAGACTCACTCACACACACACACACACACACACACACTCACACACACACAC